TCCTGGTCGGCACACAGCTGTGCGAGAGACTCCCTGCTCCTGGTCGGCACTCAGCTGTGCGAGAGACTCCCTGCTCCTGGTCGGCACACAGCTGTATTCCACAGACCTAATGCACAGCAGTCCCTGTGGAGCTCAGAGTGGAGTGGCACAGAGGAATGCCTCTCAGGCTCTGGGAGCTCGCAGATGTAATCTGAAGAAAAAAATAATGTCAATTAGACTGTGTGAAACCATATAATGGGAATTTATGGAAACAATTGAGGCACAATTCAGGGATGTTTAAAAATGTAAGTAAAACCAGAAAGTACTTGGAAAAGGAATTTTTAGTGATGACATTCAGAATTGGTAATCCTACAGTTGAAAGGATGTCCTCATCAGTTTTCCGATATTCAGCATGACTGGACCTGCTTATGAATAGAAACCGAGTCTTCTAATGAAAACCAGGCGGCTGCTGTCAGCGGCGCTGCTGGATCAGTAGGTGGCACTCTTCAGCTGGACCAGCATTTTTGTGCAGTAACAGGGGACACTGCGACCCCAAACCAAATGCCTTATCAACTATTAATGCCATTATCTCATTAAAGTTTCCAGTGCACTGTCCGTAAGAGTAGGAGATAAGAGTGGCGTTAGCTAGATGTCTTGGCTAAATTCTACTTTGTCTCCTCGAAGATGCCCCTGAATTAATCTGCAACAATTCAAGTGAAGCAAATCTTCAATTCCACAGATTATCTGACATGTGGTGGGGCTGCTGGTACAGAATAACTGCTGTGCATCACCCATATAGAGGCAGTGATATGGATCTCCTCCATCATGTAATTCGAAATTCTTTGGGATGCAAATAATTATGATTATTACTAGGATAATAGATTAAAATGCATACAATCATATCTACATGTATGATAAAGGTTACCTGAATAGTCTTGTATACAGAATGGCTGAAGCAGGTCATGCATGCTGCTAGAAATGAACACGCAGTACTGTACCTTGACTAGCACATAGTCTCCTGGACTGATGGCTGCAGTGCAGGGGGAGGAGGGGTTTGTGGGAACTTCCTGCCGAGGGAAAATCACCTTCAGATTGCCCTCATTCCGCCCACATAGCTCTGTCGCAGACCTCTTACTCTCCTGCAGGCACACAGCCGTCAAGCCCCTGGCGTGGCAACACACGCTAGATCTTTCTTAACACCTGCCTCATGTCTACCAGCAGAGAAAAGTCCAACTATTCTACACGTTAGAGAGGAACAAGCAGGATCTCGGTGTCAAATTCACTTATTGTGTTTTTCAGACCAGATATTATGTTGCAAAGGGCAGCGGGAGTTCTTATGTATTTACACTTTCAGCACTGGGCAGTTAGGTTTGCCAACAATTGTAGTTTTTCAGATTAAGAAAACATGTTTCTCCTTTTCATCCAAACCTCAAAAACACAAAAGATTGAAATCGTTTAGAAAAACCAGTCTGTTTTGCAGCACCAATCTAAAGTGTATCACTTGAAAACTTGTGCCCAATTAGTCTGCAAACGACAGTCATGACTGACGGAAAATTAAGGACCAGAGGAATCCTAGGCTGCCATGGAAAAGGCACAGATCCTCAACTGGTCCATCACTGTTTTATAAATACTGTTTTATTTACACAGCCATATCACCCTGCAACTCACAACTGGCAACCCACTGAAGCTAAGCAGGTGTGAGCCTGGTAAGTACCTGGATGGGAGACCTCCTGGGAAAAACTAAGGTTGCTGCTGGAAGAGGTGTTAGTGGGGCCAGCAGGGGGTGCTCACCCTGTGGTCCATGTGGGTCCTAATATATATATTAGGTTCCTAATATATATATGTATAGTGACGGGAACACTATACTGTAAACAGGGGCCGTCCTTCGGATGAGATGTAAAACCGAGGTCCTGACTCTCTGTGGTCATTAAAAATCCCAGGGCATTTCTCGAAAAGAGTAGGGGTGTAACCCCGGCGTCCTGGCCAAATTTCCCATTGGTCCTTACCAATCATGGCCTCCTAATAATCCCCATCTATGAATTGGCTTCATTACTCTGCTCTCCTCCCCACCAGTAGCTGATGTGTGGGGAGCGTTCTGGCGCACTATGGCTGCCGTTGCATCATCCAGGTGGGGCTGCACACTGGTGGTGGTGGAGGAGAGTCCCCGTTACCTGTAAAGCGCTTTGAGTGGAGTGTCCAGAAAAGCGCTATATAAGTGTAAGCAATTATTATTATTATTATTATAGCCGTACATGTGGAGCCATGAGTGAGATGCCTGCAGTACCCACCCCTTCCACCAGGACGAGCTGTGCGCTCCCGATGAGTCCAGCATTCACTTTTGAGGCCTCCTCCCTGAATACTGTGATAAGCTCCTCTAGGCGGCGCTGTTTTACCTCCAATGGGACGTCGTCCTGGAGCCGACGGGAGGCATGGGTTTTCTGCAAGAGAGACAGGAAGCAGCCGACAGTCGTGTATTAACACCAGCCTGTGCCTATGGAGACCTGTTCAGACCATTGGAAGTACCAATCCAACCCTTTACTGCCGACGTACCGGCCACGATCCGAAGAAATGCAGCTCTTTATCAGGAGAAGTGAAAAGTGAAAGGGACAGGTGTACCAGCGAGATTATAAAAACAACTCGGAAACAAATTTGTTACCGTGTCTTCTGACATCTAGATGGGACAGTATCTGCTAAGCAGAGGGTCACAGTGGAGTATGTTTAGGTACAGAGGAAGACACTGCCTTTGAGCTTGATTTTAAAATTCAAGGTCTAACATCCACAGACTTTCAGGTTTAAATTAGAAGTAAAATGACAACCCATTTAACCTCAAAACAAAGAGTAATGAAGTAAAAGGAAGCAAAAAACTGAATTAATAAAATAACTTTAAGCTACAACATCCAGGACATCACTTGGCACTGGAGTAGGGGTTCCCACCACACTCTGGGCCTGGGGACCCCCCACACCTGCTAGTATTTCAGCCCAACTGTGTCCTGTAACAAAACTGAACCCCTAACTGACCCAATAATGGGGTTAAGTTTAAGCTATTAACTACTTTGGGTTACTAAACCTCCTGGAAGTTACCTATTAAGTACTGGACTTTGTAAGCAACTTAGGATTTCTTGATTTAGAGTACAAAATATAAACTTGCCGAAGTTCCTGCACTGACAAACCTGAGAAAGTTCACAAACGAGAGAAAGCCATTCTGTCCCCTTTAGCAATGCTCTACAGCATGTGCTGACACACAGCGAAAGGTCCTTTATGTGCAGTGTGTCTCTGTATGGTAGCTGGGCCAGAAAGAAGCCTCACTGACAGAAGGCCCCAGCTCTCACCTGTCTCATGCTGTAGGCAAAGAGGAACCCCATATTGTACTGCACGTCTCGCAGGAGGGACACGGTCTGCTGGTGATCTTCCTCAGTCTCCCCGCAGAATCCAGCAATGAAGTCGCTGCTCAGACTCACCTCTGAAACACCGCAGGGATGAGCTCAACACTGGGGCAACCGAGACAGTTCCAGGACCAACCCCCTCACCTACAGTATATCACCACCTTTCATCCCAACAGCACAGGGCCAACAAAAAGACGCCATTCAGTCTCATTTGGTAATTTAGTATCAAAGTGTCTGGCTGTTTCTTGAAAGAGCTCAGAGTCTCAGTATCAGCCACCTGTCTGGATAGCCTATCCCGGACACCCACAACTCTACGCATGAAGAAGCTTTTCCGCCTCTCCAGCCTAAATAAATACACTTTGATCTCCTGGCTCTCCATCTCCTTCGTTCTAGACTGAAGAGATTTCACGCCTTGACCTTGTCTGCACATGATGATATCAAGATCTTTCTAAACAAACTTTGGCTGTTTAAAAACAAATATCATCATGTAAGTATCCTGCAGTTGGAAATGATAATACTAAACTAAAAGTAAGACTAGTTGGTCTTTCAGTTTCCTGGTCCAACTACATCCCTCTTTTTATTAACTGGTGCTATACAGTATATTTGCAATTATCCGAACTGTGGTTACAACTCGCATGCTTTGTGAGAGTCCAAATACCTGAGCTGGAGCGTTCCAAGTGGCTTAAACAGTAAAGGTAGACCCAAACGTGGGCTGAGCTCTATGATCACGGGCTTGAGCTTGGGGCACGTGAAAAGCCAGTAGTACCTGAGATTTATACCTGGAATTATTCCACGTATGTGAGCCACCAGCTCCAGATACGCCTCTCTGGTGTAGCTGTAAATGGAAAACAGAAACACACAAACTGGACAACCCACCTTAATAGTTGGCTGAATGAGCAGAGCCTGACAGGGCAGAAAACTAAAGTCACTAGAAGCCGACCCAGCTCAGACTGTGCACTACAAACGTGATCACAAATGAAATGAAAGTGAGCATAAAGTTCAAGTATTTCAGCACAAGTTAAACAGGAACTCGGTGGTGAAAATTTGACAAGTTACAGATTAAGCCAGCTGCTGCGCAATTTTGGAGGAGGGTATAACTGGTTTCAGTTCCTATTATCGAACATTTCCTTTACTACTGCAAGAAATTTTTGCTAATAATATATTTCCCAGCTCCTTACTCCCCTGGGTCCTGGCCAAACTTCAAAGGCCTTTACCAATCACAGCCTCCTAATAATCCCCATCTCTGAACTGGCTTCATCACACTGTTCTCCTCCCCACTGATAGCTGGTGTGTGGTGAGCATACTGGAGCATCATCCAGGTGGATGCTGCACACTGGTGGTGGTGGAGGGGATCCCCATAACCTGTAAAGCACTTTGAATGGAGTGTCGAGAAAAGCACTATATAAGTGTAAGCTATTATTATTATTATTATTATTACTCACACTCCTCACAGTGGGACTCCTCAAGGTTTTATAAGTCTCTTACAAATACCCACACCCCAATACCTAGTATAAGAGATATTTCAGCCCAGCCCTGTAATGCAACAAAGGGCTCAGAGTTTGACAAAAAGCAGCAGATACTATGGCCCTCATGCCCTGAGCCTGCTGCCCTGTGTGTGGCTCTTCATGTCACCTGCTCTTCCCCTTCCTCAGTGCACTGCTCTAAAGGCACACGGCTCGCCTCTCACCCTCGCCGCATGGCCTGCAGGACTCTGCTGCTGCCACTCTGGGCTGGCAGGTGGATCTGCTTGCAGATGTTGCCCCTCTCCTGGATGAGCTGGAGGACCTGCAGGACAGCATGACGACCCGCACATCAGGCTGACCTGTATCTGTGATCGAGATCACCTATGCCTGACCCACTTTGTCAGTGAATATCCAACGGCGAAACAAAATGATTTAGAAATGCCAGCTGCTAAAGGACAAGTAAATTAAAATATGAATGCATCTCTGATTGCTCTAAGTACGCAATTAAATTAATACTTGTTAAATGCAGGGTTTACCTACGACTGACCTGTGAAAAAAACTCAATCTTACAGGAATAATACAGCACATCCTGTGTCTTTTCGTTGCCTCTAGAATGTATCAAAAAAGAACAAGTGCATGTCTCTGATAATGTGGCACTAACAACGCTGATTCACAGACACTTAGCCTGCTCCTGTGCTTGTAAGTCCAAAATGCTATAATCGGTACAGATAACTGGAGGTCCCCACTGGGTGTCACTATGCACTTTCTTTTGAAACGCCAGTTCACACATGATGAACTGGCGTTTCATCATGTGTGAACTGATGCAATGTTTTTTAACAAAAATTAACAAAAAAGAAGATACTAAACCTATTGAGATTGGAAATGGATCAGAAACTGTATTAACAAAGCAAAGAATGCTGTAGTGAAGCAGTAAATCCTTTGGCTCGATTTCTGTTCATTTTTGTGCTTTTACAACAGGTCTAATTGCAGTGTGCCCTATATATATATACTTATTATGCTTATATATATATTAGGTGGAGCGGTGGCTCTGTGGCTAAGGATCTGCACCTGTGGCTGGAAGGTTGCTGGTTCATATCCCGCGGCTGGCTGAAGAATCCTACTCTGTTGGGCCCCTGAGCAAGGCCCTTCACCCCAGCTGCTCCAGGGGTGCTGTATAATTGGCTGCCCCTGCGCTCTGACCCCAACCTTCTCTCCCTCTCTGTGTGTCTCATGGAGAGCAAGCTGGGGTCTGCAAAAAGACGAATTCCTAATGCAAGAAATTGTACAGGGCTAATAAAGTGATGTTAAATGCTAATTATGCAGAGAGCTGCTCTGCACTCCAATGGGTATTCTTGGTTAAATAGTGGTAAACCACTAAACATGATTATAATATATATCTATATTATATTATATTATATATATTTATTATATATATTATATTATACGATATCAGCTCTGCTCTGTGCGGCAGTGCAAAGTGATTCTGCACCTCGTCAGGAAAGTCCTTGGGGTGCGGGGAGGTGAAGCGGACCCTCATCTCGGGGTCCACCAGGGAGACCCTGTCCAGCAGGTCGGCGAAGCGCAGGCCCCCCTGCCTGTCCCGGTACAGCGCGCTGAAACCGCGGCTCCGCCTCGTGGGCTCGACGCCGCTGAGCTGCTGCACCGACGTGTCCCTGTAGCTGTTCACGTTCTGGCCGAGCAGAGTCACCTCCCTCACCCCCTGGGAGAGCACAGAGCCAGTCAGGGCACGGCGGGACCTTCTCCTGCTGAAGAACTAAAGATCGTCCACCGGACAATGTGCAGAACTCCAGAGCGGAGTCTGAATGCATTCCATACGACGCAAAACAAATCTACATTTGCTTAGTTCTCAAAACACCCCCTCTTTGATTATCAAGGCAAACGGCTTTCTTATAGCTCCGTTTCACAACATAACACCATGTAAAATCATGCAAATCATAGTTTTTCTTTCTATTCTTATTCTCCACATCACTACCACACATTATCAGCATTGCCAGAAATGTCAGACGAAGCACAAAGAAGCACCAGGCTTCTCAATGCAGAATAAAAACTGTCCTTCGTAACGTTTTGGAAATAAGACCGAGATTAAAACGACCCGACACCGCACAAACGCGAATTGCAGGAACACCCCAGGACTGAGAGAAACTAGAGGAGGCCTCGGAGGTGGCTATAGGTCCGCATCCAGTGCAGGGCTTCTGGTCCAGGTCCTGTGCAAGGCCACTGGCTCACAAACTGATCGCAGGATTGTCCACCACTCAGGCTTCCTACGGACTGTCCTGCCAACAGCGCAGTGTCTGATCACACCCCTGCCCGACGGGCACAGCACCCAAAGCGCTTAGACCGCCCCCCCCCCGGCCCCGGGCAGCGCGACCGGAGCTCACCTGGTCCAAGAGCAGCCGCACCTCCTCCAGGATGGAGGCGATGGGCCGGCTCCTCTCCCGGCCCCGCGTGAAAGGGACGATGCAGTAGCTGCACATGTTGTCACAGCCGCGCATGACGGAGCTAGGGGAAGAAAGACACGAGCCGCTGGGATTAATGGGAAGAACCAGTCTCCCCCCACAGCGAGCACTTCCCTCTCACTGGAGACCAGGGTTTGTCGCAGAAAAGAAACACCCTTCATCTCTGTTCAAAGCTGAATTTAGGTCATTATTTGGATGGCACTTGGAAAACAGATACACAGAGAACAGTGTGATCTGAAAAGTAAACCTACATTATGTATCCTTAGATTTTTTATTTAGAATTCCACTCACAACCTGTAGGCCAGCAGCCTGCAACTCACAACTGGCAGCCCCACTGAAGCTCAGCAGGTGTGAGCCTGGTCAGTACCTGGATGGGGGAGACCTCCTGGGAAAAACGAAGGTTGCTGCTGGAAGAGGTGTTAGTGAGACCAGCAGGGGGCGCTCACCCTGTGGTCCATGTGGGTCCTTATGCTCCAGTATAGGGAAGGGGGAACTATACTGTAAAAAGGCGCTCTCCTTTGGATGAGATGTAAAACTGAGGTCCTGACTCTCTGTGGTTATTAAAAATTCCAGGATGTTTCTAAAAAAAAATAGGGGTGTAACCCCGGCATCCTGGCCAAATTTCCCCCCGGCCTTTACCAATCATGGCCTCCTAATAATCCCCATCTCTGAACTGGCCTCATCACTCTGCTCTCCTCCCCACTAATAGCTGGTGTGTGGCGAGCATACTGGTGCACTATGGCTCATCATCTAGGTGGGGCTGCACACTGGAGGTGGTGGAGTGGGATCCCCGTTACCTGTTAAGTGTTTTGAACGGAGTGTCCAGAAAAGCGCTATATAAGTATAAGGATTACAGTATATAAATTCCATTAGGATAACATACAGTACAGTAGTACAATTATTATAAGTAGACAAGTATTCCAATTCAAAGCAGACGAACATTGCAGAGCGCCTACTGTCTCCCACAGAAGGAAAACACGAGCGGTTTAAGTGGAGCTCAGACACAGGCATGGCTGCCGGTGCTGCCCGACTCACACAAAGGCGCTGTGACCCTGGGGGGTGCGGTGGACAGGCATGACGTCGGCGTAGGTCTCTTCCAGCGACAGGAGGACGTTGCTGGCCCGCAGGCCGCCGTGGGCCACGGACAGCAGGCGGGGCAGGTCGCGGTAGGCATCAGGCCCCGCCAGGACATCCACGAGCTTCTCGCGCTCCAGCAGCTCCGTCTTCAGCCTCTCCGCCATGCACCCTGGGCACAGACAGCCCCTCCCACCATGAGTGACGCCCCGCACAAGTGGGGAGACAGCACGGGGAGGGTTTCAGAAAGTCGCCCCCCAGACGGATTACACAACGCAGGAGGAATCTTGGACAGAGGGGGACAAACAGCTGCAAATCAGAGCTTGAAAAGCTTCAAGAGTCTCAGGACTGATCTAAAACCACCTTGGGTGGCTTATTTCTGAGAGCTCTCAGCCCTGCCCAGTAAATAAAAGCAACATTCAGCCAGCAGTTCAGTCAAGAACCTCAGACAAGCAATTCAAGGTGAGCCCTCCAACATTTTGTCAAAACAGATTTGGGAGGACAACTTTAAGGACATTCTGAAATTTCAACTCATTTTTCACTGTCATAATGGATGATGGATACCACTCAAGATTTCATGACATTTTTTAGGGGGGCGGGGGGAAGCCTACAACTAATGTGGGAATCACTGCATCGTCTGCAGGATTAGAGGAAAGTTCAGGTCGATCTGCAAGCGAATGTAAGAAAGCAATCCTTGAATGTACAGAAGTTCTAGTTTAGAAATAGAAGATTGCCTCACATAGAGTCTGTATGATACAGGATAAGGAGCAGATCTGTCAGTGTACCAATGCATGTGTTAAGGCTGGGTCACCCAATCTGCACCAGGCTCTAGTGACTATTGCAACCCTCGTATTTGGTTTAAAAGGTAAACGCTGTAGCCTGTAATATGCACAAAAGTATCGTAGCTCTCATTCTTACAGGTGTAACAGCCACTCACCTAAAACACCAAGTTTGAGAGGACTTCGTGTTTTGGGTCGCTTCTGTTTGAGAGTGGCGAGCTGCCTCAGTTTGTTCCAGATGGTCTGTTCAGCTTTTTCCCTGAAAACACCAAGCAGGGACCACAGAGAACTTCACTGGGGCTGAAACACACTGGCAAGCGCATTCTGAAACTTTAAATCCAGACATAAAAACAAGCAGGGCTACAACTGTAGGAATTTCATATACCGATTACAATCCTGTGAAAAATTGGGATCCAGATCCAGTCTTATTCATTTCAACCAATATATTGTATAAATTCTAAAGGCAAATGTCTTCACAGTACCTGACAGAGCATGTGACGAGTAAGATCACATCAGCCTGTAAAAGAACAAGCTTATTAGAAAAAGCCAAAAGAATCGGAGGTTTAAAGTAAACCTACAGAAAGAAAGGTTTTTTAATGCGATCCCATGAGTATTACGGCTTTACAATACCTTACATTACACCAGTTCTCCTATGCAGTAAATAAGGAGAAGGGACAACAACATTAGGGAGTTTACAGTAATCCCATGATGTCAGAATCAGGGAATTCCAAGTTTCATACATAAAATTCCTTGTGTTCCCTGATCCTTGGCATTTGTGCCTAAAACAATTTCTTTGATCTCATTCTCCTTTATCCCCGCACACCTGTGGAGGTAAATCAGATACATGACAAACAGGCATGAGCCCCCTTCTAATCTTGCATGAGTGGTCAAGATGCAGTGGAGAGGAATGACCACAGTCACTGCAGCCAAGAGATGGTACCACACCAGCTTACTGCAGGCTGGAGACTGAGGACTCTCTGTTGGATTCTATCTGGTAGTAGGAATCTATTTTGTGACGAAACTGATTTGATATCGACCCAACAGAGATGTTATCCAGGTATGACAGCCACGCTACAGCATTTACCTGAGACGGGTCTTTGGTGCGTAGATACCCTCTTCGCTGCAGAATGGACCAGGCAATCTCAGTGTCGCTGACATTCATCTGACAACCGTAGGTCTCGAAGTAAACTGGGAAAGCCCAACAGTCAGGACGAATGGAATGACAGACCAGAAAGCAGGCAGGGGAAAAATGAACAGAACTAAGACACTCATAGAAATTACAATAATTACAGGTGTGAGCGAGAGAGGAAAAATTTTGGGGGGGGAATTTTGGAAAAATACTTCAGTTTTTCCTCTCTCGAACAGCCAAGAAATTGTGTTTTTATTCTTTGCCTTTCACAATGGAGTAAACCTTCACCTATTCCTTTGGGGCCTGCGCTGGCTGATGCGGCTCCCTGCTCAAAAGATATTACATTCAGACTTGCATTGTAAAAAGGACTTAAAAGACAAAGAGAACGTGAATAAAATGCAACACTCCTATTGTGAATGACACAAACGTTTCCGTTTTGGAGAAGCAGATCAAAGTGGAAATATCACAGAAGTAAAATTAAAATCCCAGAACTCTGCGATTCCTCTTTTACGTTGAGGCTGGAATTGCATTCCATAAACTTGCCCTTCTTGCTTTGTCGTCAAGACACTCACCTTTCCTGCCATCCCCACTGAGAGAGGCTTCAGGAAAATAACTGTGCGTGTCCTCCACATCTGCCTGCGGGAGCTGGGGATCCTTCTTCTCAGCAGAGGCACGTTTCAGGAAATCAGGAAATCCAGGACCGGTCGCCAATCTGTTTCTAAATTCCCGGGCACTGGTGTCCTGTCCTTCTACCGTAACTGAGAGGGGGGTTTTTATACAATAGTTGTGCTGGGGGGGCAGTTCTGCAAGGCGGCGATGCCCCCGGAGCAACAGCGGTCTTAAAAAAGCGATAATGGTCATGTCTTACTGTTCAAGACAGGATAATGCCCCCCCCAAAAAACCTTCTCGTTTTTTTGACAAAAGTAACATGCTCAGCGACATGAAAAATTAAAACGAGGCACTGCCAGTACCATCACACTACAAATAAAATACCCCGCTACAGTATTGGGTACCAAGTGTAAACGAAGATTTACTCTTTCAGTATTCGTTCTCTATACAGTACTCTTTCAGTATCTGTTGGATATTCTAAGGTGTAGTATTTTTCAGTACCCAGAAAAAAAAGTTTAATAGTACAATTCAATCAAAAACGTTTAGACATTTTTCTTCAATCAATGACTATCACCAACACATTACATTAATGGTGTCTTATCATTATGATAATACGTCGTTCAGCTGCAGCTAAATTATAAGACAGTTAACATATTCTTTAATCCAAAGGTTACAAGATCGTCAGTCATTGCAGGTCACAAACGGCATATTTTTATTCTTAAAGCTAAACACAAACTAATGGTAAGTCTTCTTCTAGTGATAACATTGCCTCGGTTTATTTAGTTAATCACAAACACCCTTCTTCCCCACATTGGCTAACTCTGAAGAACAAGTCCGACTCTTCAGAAGTCCCCGCGGAAACAATAGCGATGATTTTAGGTGCCTGTCTGTAACTGCCCCCCCTCGCACAACGTTCCGGTGAAGCGCTCGGTGGTGCGAGGCTAGGTATTGTACACTCTTAAGTTACCTTACTGTTGTCCTTTTAAACACTCCATTTCAAACATAAAAGTGAATATTTTTGTTCAGTATCAAATTGTAATTGATTTTGTTTTACCAAGAAGAATAACTTTCCTGTTTTAAGCTTTAATCTTCATATTTGGAATCCAGTTAGGTCCCTTTTTTATTGAAACAATACTGCTCCAGCTATATGCTTGGTTTGACAAATAACTTGTGCATACCTTTTTTCCCCCCTCTAGGATTGTCTGATGGTATAAATAGCATGTGCCCTAGATCAGTTTGTCATTCTTACTCCTGTGTTGTAATCTCTGCACTGATTTACTGTACTATAAAATACGACCTATTTTTCAAGATTGTACTTTTAATGTGCAGGACTTAATATCTTATTGTTAACCTGCAAAGCATTATGAAAACCTGCTCCCGAGTATTTAAGGGGCCTTTTCAAACGTGATACTCCCTGTTCTTGCACTACATGGACGGGCTGTGCGTGCCTCAAACCAGATCATGAACTGAGACTTCTGTGACCATATAAGCAATACGTTGAGTAGGTTTATGTCCATATAAAACTCTTGAGTGTAGAAATATTTGAAACTCCACTTTTTTTGCTTAAGCTTAGAAAACTTATTGTTTGAATTTTTTCTACCTTTTGAGTTGAGTTTTGTTTGGAATCTGTGTTCTAATGTAATGTTCAGTTAGTGCTTTTGAAATGCAATACATGACAAGGTGCTTTTTAAATAGAATGTTGTTCACTGGAAATGAATCTTCCAGGCCAATTCGACATATATCCAAACAAAACGACACCACCAAGGCAATGTCAGCTTCATTTTACCATGGCAAATAAAACATACATTGTTAAATATTCAGTGCTTGCAAAACTGGAATAAAATATTAACAAATGTGAGAGGACTCTCTGTGAAATAGTCGACAATGAGGCTACTTATGAAAAAGTGTTTATGTTGACACATTATCTGCATATTCTAGATAATACAGAGAAGCAATAAAAAAAGCAAACAAAATGTTAGAATATAAAGTCCGAATTGTTGAATGTCATGTTGAAATTGTATAATATACTAGCAAGACCTCATTTTAGAATTTTGTTTACAGTTGTGGTCACAGTGAACAGAGGCAACATGATTCAGCTGAAGTTCCTCAGAATAAACAGTGAAACACCATAAGATAGTGAAAAGAAGTAAAAACTACGTGGAAGCGTATTTAAAACTGAGAGGAAGAGACACATCTTTACACAAGAATAATGGCAGTCGGCAAGTCATGTTGTTGAAGCTGATACCTTCAAGAAATGGCTGGACAAGATCCTTGGATCAAAAAGTAATTAACTGCTAAGCAGGCTAGATAAGATGAATTCCTCTATAGCGTTTTTCTGGACACTCCACTCAAAGTGCTTTACAGGTAATGGGGACTTCCCTCCACCACTGTGCAGCATCCACCTGGATGATGTGACGGCAGCCATAATGTGCCAGTACTCTCACCACACACCAGCTATTAGTAGGGAGGAGAACAGAGTGATGAAGCCAGTTCATAGATGGGGATTATTAGGAGGCCATGATTGGTAAAGGCCAATGGAAAATTTGGCTAGGACAGCCGAGGTTACACCCCTACTCTTTTCGAGAGACGCCCTGGGATTTTTAATGACCACAGAGAGTCAGGATCTCGGTTTTACGTCTCATCCACAGGATGGTGCTTGTTTACAGTATAGTGTCCCCGTCACATTACTGGGGCATTAGGACCCACATGGACCACAGGGTGAGCGCCACCTACTGGCCCCACTAACGCCTCTCCCGGCAGCAGCCTTAGTTTTTTCCCAGGAGGTCTCCATCCAGGTACTGACCAGGCTCACTGAGCTGAAAATATCTTCCTTTTTTTGTAAATATTATTGTATTCTTAAATTGTTTTTTTATTGGAATCCTTTACCGATGAAACCCAATAATGTATGTCAGAAAAAAAGGAACTTGTAATGTATTGCATCATGTAAATGCACTATGTTCTTTCTTAACATCTCCCAGCTATGAGTATGACATGGGTTCAGAAGTTCTCCACGGTGGGAGGGTACCGGTAATGGAATGAATAAGGTAGCTGTGATGTCACCCTGCTGTGTCTTCACTGGATGGTGTAAAAAGGCAGTGGAGAGGGAGATGTCAGATCCCTCCAGTTAAATGCAGCTGGAGCTCCAGTCCCAAACTCAGACCACTGTCAGTGTTACCTTGAGCCCCTCCTGGCTCGGAGGCTGGAGAGGATGAAAAGAAGCTTCACATCACAAAGTGCAACAGAGTGATCTTTCCTCAACACGGGACAGCACAGAGCAAGCTGAGAGCAGTTCACTACATCAACTTCTACCACGGTATGTAACATCAGAAACAGATTTTAAATGTGTTTTCATGTTGATTCTTTGTTTGCAGTCCCAGTTATTTTGGCTAAATCTATTCCTCTTTTTCTCGTAATTCAGGATTTGTATATTGCTGAAAAGTACGGAATATATACTTGATACGTTTGATATATAATGGAAATTATGATTCAGTTTCGCATCAGTGTTTCTGCTCTTCTGTAAAAAAAAAAAGATTTCAAAGAAGCTAGCTGTTCGTTTTTATTTGTCTTGAAAGGGTAAATATGGATCAAAATGCAAAAAATCTCACTTAAAAGTCCATTTTCTCATCATACTGTCAGGCTCGCAGTCTTTTTTGTGGAAAGAATAATGCTCTGACTCAATCTGTCTTCACCTGTTGACAGAAAGCTAACTGGTAGATCTGTCAGGGTCTCTATCTAACAGTATGTAAAATATTTAAAGATCAAAAGCTGAATTTGTTATACTTTATTGTAATGTGCATTTTGCACTACGTGCTGTAACTTTAAATGAGCTTTAAAGAGTAAGACTCTTATTCATCTGTGCAAACAGGGGAGATCAGTATACACAGGCAAGACACATTTACCTTAATGATCCATTTACTGTTTTTTTAGCGCAGAAACCAAAGGTAGCAACTGTAGAAAGAGTGAGCAAATTTGTCCTATTTGCTAGATGTACAACACCTTAATAATGCTCAATACTTCAATCCCCAAAATTCTAATTTGCTTCAATGATCCAAGACAAAAACAACCAAGAAAGAAAGAAACCTGTTCCACATTTGGAGTTCTGACTCTGAGCAGCACAGGCAGGACTCGAGTCTTTTCTGACCTTTGTTTCAGTGTCACGTCAGGTGCCTGTGCTCCTCTGTGTTCTCCACAGAAGAGCCCACGATGGTGGAGAGAAGCACACTGCTGGTACTCTGCTGCCTGGCCATGCAAGCAGCTGGTTCTTCCTGCCTGTATCCTGGCCTGAGGTCAGTCCTGAGTGACAGTGGGGTGGGGTATCGTGTGCTTGTGTGTGAGCCATGAAAATGTTTGGGAAAGTGCTGCACTGTCCAAATACACAATGCAATGTATTGATCTGAGGTTAATTAGTGTAGGGTAGGCATGAAATAAGCCAATACTAGTTCAATAGGACAGTACTGCAGTCAAAATTCCAACTGTTCTGTTGGATGACACTTCATAATTTAATATTTTACTTTTTTGATGTTTAATAAAGGAAGACCAACGCATGGTGGCACAGTGGTGAGCACAGCTACCTCTCATGATTGGGGCCCTGGGTCCAATTCCTGGGGTGCTATCTGCTTGGAGTTGGTGTGTTCTCCCATGATCACATGGGTTTCCTCCCACAGGCCAAAGACTTACTAATAGGCTAACAGGATTCTGAGAATAGTCCCAGGGTGAGTGCAGTCTGTGTCTGTGTGCGCCCTGCACTGAAATGACTTCCTATAACCCACATTGCACAAATTGCATGCTGGGACAGGCTCTGGCTCCTCCACAACCCAGAATTGGATAAAGCCAGGACTTTCTGGATGGATGATCAATAAAGAAGGCGAAAACAGAGATTCAGACCTTTGAGATATAATTTATGAATACATTTTGCAATCCAGTTCAGGGACTGACTGGTAGTGGGCAGTAAGCGATATTCTGTGAAATGGTTAATAGTTTACTCCGTTCTAGCAAGTAATTACACTTGCTTTCCATTAGAAAGTCCTGTTGGGTTTACATTCCCCCCGATACATTTTTTCCTAAAATAGGATCAGTAACATTTTCTGTGACCTCCCTCCTACTCCACAGATATCTTTTAACTGAAAAAGGCAGCTGAAGTGAAACCTTTGTGTGGTTGGGAATCCTCAGGAGAGGGATGAGTAGTTAGAAAACGTTTCCCCTGCTCCTCTACTCAGCCTGTGACTGCAATTACAGCCTTCTCTCACTAATCGAAAGTGGAGCTTCTTAATAAGAAAGCTGTAGGTGATTGCTCTGATGCTAGTTTTGCTACTTTATTGAAAAACGTAAATTGCCCTTAAGGCTATTTTATGGTCCAAACCATAATTCTGGGCTTTATGCAGTGCACTAGTTGGAGCAGGTCTGCATCAGTATTTAGAGAAAATGTGTTCCAATCTGGTTTTCACATCTAATCTTGATTATATTGCACATGTTTCTTGGAATGTAAATTTAAAGTTACTTTTATGAAGACGAGACACAAATGGATCTCCTAGATGTATTTCAGTGCAGTGTTACTAGGCTATAGTAGTTCAGGTGGGTAGCTGCGTCAGCATGCGTAGGCTGCAAAGGAACAAGTAATAGGTTTATTCCATACTGAAAAAAAGAAAGAAAACACAATGTTTCGGCTGTGGAGCCTTCTGCACACCTGAAGAAGGCTCCAAGGCCGAAATGTTGTGTTTTCTTTCTTTTTTCCAGCATGGAATAAACCTATTACTTGTTTCGTTACTAGGCTATGATGAATTCTGGTTAGCAACAATAACTGCAACAACTGTCCTTTTCCATTTAATATTATAGAAAAGCCTTGAAGCCTAAATTGTTCTAAGAGCACTCTGACAGACATGGCAACAAGTACCAGGTGCATGAGAGACAAAGGTGTCATCTCACAAGAGTACCGAGTCATCACTGGACGAATGCTGGGCTTTACTCAGTATGTCGGCGGTAGCTCTCGCGTTTTGTGATGCTAATGCTGCCCGGATATAAACTATGTCTATTGTCTCTTTGTTCACCGGGGTGTGAACTGTTTCCATTGTCCAGTTGTTCCAACTTTTGAGAGCCATTTTCTAGCCACGTCAGCATAAGCGTAGCTTTGTGTGTTATTTTGTGAAGAGGCTTCATCAAGGTCAACAGCACTCTGTTGTTCCGAGGTGTACAGCAATAGAAGCTCAAGGGCACAGGAGCATCTCCTCTGTTGAGCAGATAAGGGAACTACTATAGTTAATCCATGTAAATTTGAGCAGTTTCAACCAGTTGGTTGCTTACGTTCATTAGCTTGGGTGGCAGTAGTACAGTTCAGCCATTTTGCACTGACGGAGACCACAGACTACAGCGTTTTGGATTTGATCAGTTCAGCTGCAGAGAAAGTGCCAGAAGGTCACAGCACCTGTCCTTCTGCGTTGTGAACCAAGTTGTAATACCCATCTTTAAATCCTTAACATTCCTTAACCCCTAACAGTTCCAATTTTTTTAGATTGGTTATTAAATCAGTATTAAATCCTAATTCCTAATGAAGCAGAAAATCGAGAATTTTGAGAAACCGCTGGTCTCGCCCCAGGTGAGAGTCCGTCCGCATTGCAACATGAAGTGGTCCATATAACATGATGTATGAGCCAATGAGTACAGGTTGTGCAGCAGACATTTCAGCACAGAAATGTTTGAACCTGATCTGCATGCAGAGTTAACAAATAGTAATAATTCCTTACACTTATACATCGTGTTTCTGGATAGTCCACTCAAGCACTTTACAGGTAGCGGGGACTCCCCTCCACCACCTCCAGTGTGCAGCCACACCTGGATGATGTGACGCCAGTACACTCACCACATACCAGGTATCAGTGGGGAGGAAAACGGAAGCCAATTCAGTAGTATTTTCTAGTTTTAAAGGAGTATTTGTCAGCAAAACCATCACAAAGTCGAGAGCAATCTTTCTATTGGATTAACAGAGACATATTCACAAGTGTGTTTACAATGTAATAGGGCCTCATCACCTCCCCAGAAGTTCACATGCGCATGCCAGGAAATTTAGTCTGTTGTGATTTAAATTGGGGGTTTGTTACACGTTACTGTTTACATTTTAGTTTCATTGTGGTTTGAAATGCACTCAATGCCGAAATAGAAAAATAGCGTTGCAGTTCCCCTTTAAATCCTTAAACTTGTCCTTATTAGATTTGTGACGTAACATAACCTGAAAGAATGACAATTGCGCACATTTGGTGTCTGTTTCAGATTTGGCCAGAAGAGCACCAGCTCTTCCATCCCGACGAGCTCCTCTGGTGAAAACGGCAGCCGGCTGCCCACTGGCACTGCCCAGCAGAGGGATGGCGCAGAAAAGCGGTCAGCAGACTCCTGAGCCTTATCCTGCATGACAAAGCATGCGAAACCAACTTGTAACTGGTTAACAGAAATAGATTGTTATACTGAATGTGGGAAAACTGTAATTGGAGGCTCAATGTGTATACTGGCTGCAACTGAGCTTCAGCTTGAAGCACATTAACATCTGCGGCACTCTGTCTGTCTGTCTCAGAACAGGGAGGCACGCGGATGCCATTTTCACAAACAGCTACAGGAAAGTTTTGGGACAGTTATCTGCCAGGAGGTTTCTTCAGACCATCATGGGAAAACGGCTGAGGTAAGTGTGAAATAATGCGCCTCGTTTGGACTTTTCCGATAAATGGCTCACATGGGTGTCTCGCTTGTGTTCGAAGCCAGTGGGGAGCAGAGGTGGAGAACGCAGCCAAACGGCAGACGAGCGTTTTTACAGACACCTACCAGCAGGACCTTACTGCCATTCAACACTACAGGAGGCAGCTGGGTGTGGTCGGCCCCAGGTAACATCTCCACTTCGACTGTTCTAGAGATCAATCAGACCCAATTTCATATTCTGTGTATGCTTTACATTTTATAACCGTGAGAGATGTTTTAATCGATCGATGTAGTAATTCAGGAAAACTAGATTTCCATAGGTACTTTGATTTCCTCAACTTCTGTGAAAGCTTTTATAAATGGATTTTTTCCCCCCCAGACCATCCCCTTATTAAAAAGGGCAGTTTCAGCCTTACCAGTTGTAAGGTCACTTTAACAGAACCTTTTTATTCTGCCTGAAATAGGTGTTGCTGCTGTCAATGTTGAAGCCTCAATCAAACCTGATTTCCTGAAAGATGAGTCAAGGATTTTGCTTCCACAATTTAAAATCAATGCAGGTTTCGAAGGATGTTTGAAACAAAGAAATCAATGACAGACACGTCTCCGTCCCCAGATAGCAAGCCACTCTCTGTCGAAGAGCAATGCTGACACTGTATGTCTCTGCAGAATTCATGGCCGGACGGGGCACTGAGGACACCAAGAAGACCTGTCAGGACCACACAGCAGCTCCTTCGTTTTTAAATCACTCAACAGAAAATTAAAAAGCAGCATCGCATTTGGGAACAACCTGCCTTCACTCAGCTTAGAGAGACAGTATGCTTCACAAACGTTAAATGAAATTTACTCAACTGCCAAGAGGAGCACGCCATAGTGATTCAAAATCCCTTCTGTTACCCTGAAAATAAAGCCTCATACATTATGTTGTAAATAAACTTTTGACAAAGCATATTCTGTTTGCACACTTTTTAACCATGAACTCTGTAGCCTCCAAGTCGCTTGTCAAATGTAACAGGACAGGTACCGAAGTATCAGTGAGACGTAAGAAGATAAAGTGGACCACAGGTCTGCAATGCACATTCACCGGTGACTGTAAACAAGCAGTAAACAAGAGGAATATGGCTATTGTAATGTTTGAAACAAAACTCAAAAGAATTGTACCCCCGTTGGTTTTTTTATTCCCTCTTAAGTACAAAAATCTCCACTGGCTGAGATCAAGTGTCTCAGCCCCGTGCTGTCTTGTTCCTAGCAGGCTTGAGGTTCGAGGGGGCCGGAGAAGGCCATTCAGCACATCACACCCACACCTTCGAGCTGCTCGGCACACCTGTCACACATGGCCCACTGTTGCTTAACATCAAGAAAAAAATACATCAACCAGCCTCCCCAGTCACTGTCCACGGTGACCACATGTGCAATCCATAAGTGAACGTTTAGCGATGACACAGTGTACGACTGCAGCAGAAAAGGTGATGCAAATGCAGACACAGGTGAGCAACATGTGTACAAAAGGAATGTATTAATGGCACGAAACAAATCGCTCAGAAAACCTGACTTCAAACCCTAAAACATTATTACATAGGTGTTACAAGTTAAACAACAGTGTGACTTGTGAAATGCAAAGTATACTGAAGTACCTCAAAGAGGTCCAAAGTTCTTCACGACGCTTACAATCGTGGTATGAGCAAATACATATTTTACCTTGAATCTGCAGTCCGTACTGTCAGGACTCCAAAATACCATGTTGCACTGCAGAATGAAAACTGGCCGATTAACAAAGTTCAGATGTTTTAGCCCAAAGAAACATCTGGAGTACCTTGGTGCTCACCTGTGATCTCTACAGTACAAAAAGTACAAAAGAAACAAAAACCATTCCAATGGTCATCTCTCAAGTACACATCTCCTTCTGTACAGCACCAAGGTGTGGACAGGGATTGAATCTGGCAATAAGAGGGGGTGGCATTATAAAACAGCAATAATAGAGGACAATTTGGACAGATGGGGTACTTGTCTACCTTGACTCCATCTTGTGCAGAGCTACTAACCCCACACAGCAGAGCTGCAGATGATCCAAACTCTAAACCCACTCCCACACCATAACGTAGTCAAGTACTCCCTCATCATCTCCAATCGGCAAAAAATAACAGTCCCACAGAAACTTGAACAGCAAAATCATTTCTCTCTTTTTTGTAGTTTTTGAAACAAAAAAAAATCTTCAGTCTTCAAGCTTGTGTTATTGTAGATTCCCGGTTCTGCAAGAAAAAAAAAAAAAGACATTTCTCAAACTCACATATTGCTGAAGTCTTAGTTTGCCCAGGTGCGCTTTCTGCATGCTTGTCCTGTCTACAACACCAGAGTGCACATGAACGTCCGCAGCTCTTTTTCTAAAAGTAAAGCACTGGCAGAGTGATCTTTGCTCATGCACTCTTGAACCCTTATACACACCAGAGACTGGAAAGCACAAACTGTTGAGAACGCAATCCCACAACCTTGCAGGAATTCTCCTCTGGAGCTTTTCAAATTTTTTCAGTGGATCGTGACACTGTTTAAACTCGTCATCTCTACTGTCTCATCCCCAGCTCCTGTAAAGTTTCACAAGGGTTTTGCTTTATTTCCAAGTTGTCTTGAAAGGCACTACGTAAAATGAAGTCTGAAGAAAGTAGCATCAAAACGTAGTATATTAAAGAGAGTTTATAGTGTTATTAATACTGAATACAGATTGTGTAGGCAGTGACCTGATACAGTCATGAGTATTTTGTCATAGAAATCTATGAGTTTTGCGTTATGCCTTAAAATTAAGTTTGTAGGTTTCCAGGTTGTTTATAAACCCTGAGTAGGATCCCTTCGGGTAAAACATTCAGCAATGCAATCTGACAAGTAAATATCACGACAACATTGTATGGACAGACAGGAAACACTGGCAGGCAGGCAGGATGGCAGCTGGGTTAGAAACAGTTATAATAACCAAGTTATTTACAGATTGCACACAGCCCTGTACATTTATTCACTGTTTCTCAGCTGTAACTGATATTTAATGTAGTTTCAATAACAGCTGGCAAACCTGAGACTAGTACAGTAAACCTAAGAGTCTATCCTATAAACTGTAAAATTCAGTTTCCATAAAATTCAACCCTTGGACACAAGTGACTAGATCATTTCAGAGCTCATGTTTCTCTAGACCAAGTACGAGCAGGTTTACCAATTTATAACAGAAAAGACGACAGCATGTGTGTGCATTAGAAATTGTTCACTGGGTCTCTCGGCAGAAGAACAGGAGGAAAGCATGATGAAAGGGAAAGGTGGGAGAGCTGAGGATGTGTGAGACTGAGCTGGCAATGAGGTGGTATGAGGCAGATCTGTGCCGTGAGCTATGCTGTTGGTTTGCAGGAGTTTGGAGGAGCACACAGAGCAAGCCATGCGGAATGCAGAGGACGGGGCGTGATGATGCACCGATGGCAAAGTCAGCCCTTACTTCAGCCTGGAAGACTGCACTTTGTTATTAGCAATGGCCTTGTTACCGCAGGCTCCTATACTTTGCCAATCTACTACTCTGCTCTGCAGCAATCCTGAAAGAGGAGGAGAGAAAGAAGAGAGAGACAGGCAGGCAAAAAGGGTTAAGGAGAGCACAGCACTAGAGGAAGGAGAAATGCTGGGGAAACAGACTGACAAAATCAAAGCCAACCAGTGTCCCCCACAAATGCAGAATCCCCCCACAGAAATGGATCCCTGTTTTTTCAGGTTACGTTGCTGCTTATATCAGGGAATGCATTCAAAATAACCTAAAGAATACAATCCTGACTAATGCTGTTCAGAGAAGCAAGTCTACTAAAAGAAAGGGTGATATCCTGCACCCTCAAGTACATTCTCTACAGCAAGCCTCTGTACGAGAGGCTTCAGTAAGGCAACGAAGAAACGATTTAACTGCAACTTCTTCCTTCTCCGCTGTTCTCTGCTGCAGCGGTGAACTGTGGCGTCTCAGCTGGCCGTACTCAGGGGCTCAAGGATGGCAGAGGTGCACGGCGTTGCGCCTCTCCCTGGAAGACGTGCAGCCTCACCTTACCTGCTACAAGACCCCCCCCGTCAGGATAACTGCCACTGTTTGGCACAGACGGATGCGTCAGCGAGGCAAAGGCAAAGAAGCCAACTGATCTGAAGCCATGAGGACCAGGTCACGTGGTAGTTCTCAAGAAGTGCTGTCCAAGGCTGTAGCTTGGAAAGGAGCCTGTGGCTGGATTCCAAGCTCCTTATGGCACAATGTCACATTAAAAAAAAAAAACTTAACACCCTCCTACACACAGCCTCCAAGCATCTCTCAGCACACACCTCTGATGCAATTATCATCGAAGCATGAAATCCCTCTTTTTGTAGTTCATTCGTCTCATTAGGAGAAGGACGCCCACAAAAGAAAATCCTTGCCGTAAGAAAGGCGACAGTGACAACAGCGAGGAAAATGGCAGCACATCATGGCGAGCAACAGCAGGCTCATAACTCACCTCTTCACGGCCTTCTGTGCCAACATCCGGTTGCCAGCCAGGAAGGTGAGGCTGCCAAGGACCGCCAGGTACTTCAGAGTCTGGAACATGTTGAGCTGAGTCCAGTAGACGTACATCAGGCCCAGCATGGCTGAAACACACAGAGCGCCCTTCATAGTCAAGATCGGCACTTACACAGAGAGTAATCCGTTTCCTCTGCAAGACTTATCTTTTGCTGTTGCTGTAACTGAAGCTGAAACAATTTATCGAGAAAATAAATTAACGACATCCCTGTAATAAGACTTCTAAAACTTGGGTCCACTGCTACAGCGTATCCGAATGTGACACAAGGACAGGCTTGCGTTATAAGCTTCGTGGATGAAGGCTAAATCCAGATTCATGATCCCACCTTTTCAGTGTTACAAACACAAATTCTTATGAATGTAATATACTTGAGGGAAATGTCTAAGTACATAATCCCACATTTAAACAAAGAGGAGTTTAGATGAAGTTACCTCATCAATTTTCAGTTTGTGGAAAGTGTAATATGTAATATGAAGATATTCCCTTATACGTCACATTTAGTTTTCCACTTAAAGTGTATTTATTGTATCAAATTCTGGTATAAGCATACCCTATGATATAGGTATCAGAGGACACTTACTACAGTCCTTGTTTCAAACTCAAACAAAACATAACAGACTGATTCACTCATTCCACATTTCTGTTAAGTCTGATTCTGTATTTCTGCATTTTTCACCACTACTATTGTACTATTTCACACACAGACAAAATAAATACTACAACAAAAAATCCAGTATCAACAGGAGAACTAACAGGATGTGATGTTCAAGCTGTGACCTAAAGTACTGCACTACAAAAGTAACAGAAAAGGATCAAGTAATTAGTAAGTAAAATAAATAAATATTTTTAAGGTTCAGTTATTTTCACTCTGTCTGCAACAACACTGCTACAGGCCTCTTCATCGAATCTTTACTATCACAGTACCCTGAAGAGCAACACAATCCAGTCATTCTCCAGTTCTATAAACGCTTTTCAATATTGTTAGTTTTCCACAAAGACATGTTTCTGCATGAGCAATTTTGTGAGCTGGACTGTGGTTTGTTATGACATACAGTCAAGAGGTGAATTATTCATGAAAAGAGCTAAAAAAAGGTTATTACTAAACTCTTGCACAGTACGATTTGATTCAAGAATAAGTTACTAAATGATATCTTATAAAACACGAACGAGATTAATTTGAATGCCAGACGGTGATTGTTTATACGTAATTACTCTGTGTGAGCATTTATCAGTGAGCGATGGGAATGTGAATGTGTTACCTTTAATTACTAGCTCACACTGGGACAGACAAAAGCTGCAATGAATAAATGAACAAGTGAAGCAGACGGTTTTTAGGACTGCATTCTAAGCTGTTTCTACATATGTAGAAGTGCATTTATTTACGAGGGTGGATCTCCTACCTTGCAGTGATGTTCAGCTCACTACAGAGCTATCTATTGGTGCTGAACAAATACTAACATAGTAACAATCTATTCCTCGCAACCTCCTGGGTAACTCTGATCTGTATCTTAGTTGCCATAACATTTTATTCCCAGTCTTTCATCCTTTCACTTAATCAAGAGGGAAAGAAGTCATTACAAAAACAAATATTTCACGTGTTCTGTCAGTGACAAGAAATAATTCCAAAAAACACAAAATCAAAAGATCATGAGCAATAACAGATTGCAGCTCTCGTGAAAGTGGGTTTGTCTTAACCAAAGCCAAAACAAGTTCAAAATGTACATCAGTATTCAGGAGGCCTTTGAACACATAGGGAACTAACTTGAAGACATTAATAAGAATGCAGGAATGGCCAGAAGACTTGACGTATCTGGTTCAGAGTTCATTATATTAAAGGCACCGTGGGAAAGAATGTAAACAAGTTGTTTAAGTATCGGAATAAAAACCAGAAATGTGCCTTAATGGAAACTAGTGGAGCTGACTCTTACACAGCTTCTGCATTTAAGTTCCCAGCCCTTTCAGCGTGAACGCCACAGCCCCGCGGCAGCACTCACCGGCGTGTCCCAGGTGGAACAGGATGCAGCTGGGGGAGAAGCTGAGGTTCGAAATGTTCGCCCCAAGCTTGAACCACTAGAACAGAGGGAAGAGAAGCAGACAATTTGCTACCCTGCTCACACGGGCCGCGTCCCCGGCTTCATGCTCTCCTCCCAGGGGCCCTGTTCAGACTACATTTCACTCACACTCCATCCACGGGGCAGAAGAAGAACTCACTTGGCTGCTGTTAGAGATCCATTAAACTCAGAAAAATAAATTGCACAGGGGAAAAAAAAAAAAAAACAGGCTTTCACTAAAGCCACATGATGTGTGAATCATTCTACCAACCCGGCATCTGTGAAGTAAACTGAACCCTTGAAATATGGGAAAAGACTAAATTTGACAAGTTTTTTTTTTAAACTAAATGATTCACATTTCAACTTTTCGCCATTTTCCTGCAACAGACTCAAAGAGTGTATTTTAAACTTCTTGCTTTTAAACTTTAAACAAGGATTTTAAGGCTGCAACCAGCCGGCCATTCACACCGATGACTGTAACAGCTGCATCTTGAATGGAGAGTCCAGCTCAGAAAGTGCAGAAAAGGGAGCAGAGCGCTGGAGCTCTCAAGCTCTCTACAGACCGGTACTCACCAGGATGAGGAGCAGAAGGAGTGGCGAGAGGACCAGGGCTGTGAAGGCGTTGGATACAACAGTCGGTGGCTTCTTCTCTGGCTCCCGAAACAAATGCTGAAAAACAGAAGTGTCGACGCAAAGTTCAGTATTCGAGGCTCAAATTTGAAAAAAGCTGGCCTTCAGATCTCTAGTAAGTTTGTTTCACCTCTCACTCCAAACGCCTTGTGCCTCTAACAGCCTCCCATGCCCAGCAGAACGTGGTGCCTGTGCTGCTCAGCTCAGCACAAAGCAATCAGCCGAGAGCACAAGAGCAGCCTCACAGCTCTGCTTCTCATATAATATCTGATCGATGTGAAGGTGTTGTTCCCCAAGACTTTAGGAACAATATAAAACAAACATTGTCTTTTCGCATACCCCAGCTTGGGGTCAGAGCGCAGGTCAGGCATTTATACGGCACCCCTGGAGCAGCTGGGGTTAAGGACCTTGCTCAGGGGCCCAATGGAGTAGGATTCCTCTGCCAGCCGCTGGATTTGAACCAGCAACCTTCCAGCCACAGGCACAGATCCTTAGTCACAGAGCCACCGCTTCGCTCCGAGGTTTTTAGGAGCAAAACCTCTCAAATATCTTATTGCTGGAAAAACCCTTGGACTAATTCATTCTGCACGTATGTAGCTGTATGTGGTAAAAGCTCAGGAATGAGATGTGGCCCTGTCGAGGCTGCAGAGGGCTTGGGAACGTTCTTACCTTAATCTCTGGTTTGGGAGTGTAGAGGTTTTTGGACTGGATTACAGAGGGAGCCTCTTCATCCAGGAACTTCAGCACAACGTCAGCCTAGGTAGCCAGAGGCAGGCAGAGCAATCAGGTCACGATGTACAACTGCCAGAGTCAAGTCTTGATTCCCATCACAGAACCCTTTTATAGCTTAAACAAATCCTTTTACAAAGACGGATGGTGGACGAATTTGACTAACCTGCTATTAGCCTGCACTGCAATTGCATTCAATACAGCAGCCAGGAGCTCAGACTGGTGTGTAAGTGTGGGCAGTCAATGTCAACTATTCAGCAACTGGTCTCAAAACTAGACTTAGCTTTAGGTTAACAACAGAAACAGAAAAGACTACAGAATATTTATGATTTAAACCTTCTGTTCTACTGTATTTATAGCAATATATCTCATTATATGCATTATATATCATAGACATCACATCACTGGGAAGTAAGATCTCACTGGCCTAAACTCTCTAAGTTCATTTCATTTAAAGTGACAGCTGACCTGACAAATAATGTGCTTTTTAAAAAAAAAGAACGTTTAAAAAATCCAGTGCCGTGAGAAGGAAGAAGCAGGTTTAAAAACAATGGGAACTGTAAAAGTATTCACCTCTAGAAAAACTTCTGCTGCACAATTCTTTGGGCAGTATATGAAATAAATGTTGAGTATTTTCTTTACAAACTAATATTGTTTATTCTACATTTCCATGATAAACAATACCCTGTTCCGTCCAAGCTGATATCCTGTGTAACTAGAAAGTGTGAATATTAAATGACGTTGTTCACACAAGCTGTATTCATGCTCCTCAGCTCATAGGCTAGTCTGCTGGCTCTGCCCAACAGACACTTTAGCTTTGGAGACCAGATTCTTCTCCGGCGCGTTTAGTTTAGACAAGAGTGTTAGACGGTATTCTTTTTAGGACTGCCTGGCTCTCTTTATTGCAGATGAAAAGATCATGGCGCTTCAATGGGAATCTCTCATTCTTTTTTTATAACATCATTTGATTCTAGCATTTCCTAAAATAATTTATAAAGAGCTTTCTACCCAACAGATTCACGTTTTCAGGACACTCCTGAAAGTGAAACAGACTAGTCTAAAAAAAACAGCTGGATGGTATTCCCAGATGAATTACCTACTAAAAAACAAATGAGCTCTAGAGGGCTGCTCCTGCAGATAGGTCTTTATTCCACTGGACTGGTGAAACTTTAAAGTTAATGAAACACTGTTCACATAAAACAGTCATTTTCATCAAAACCTACTGAAATATGTATCAAAATCATTAAAAATAAAGTTCACAAGTGCAATGTGAACAGAGAAAGATGAGCAGCTTTGAGCAGCTTTGGGGATAGGAACCTGAACGCATCAGTGAACTTACCACATGCCAGAGGACTGGGTTCTCCAGGGTGGCATCACCCACAATCAGGTACAGCGCATAGGTGCCGGATATGGAGTCAAACTCAGACTTCCTCTCAGCCGTGTCCAGCTCGAACTTGTACACATTCTTGCTGTCAGGCTCAGCAACAAACACCACCTCCTGGCCCGTTTTCTGGTTATGGAGCCGCACAAAGGTCTACAGTGGAGAAAGCCAACAGCAGATACAGGACATTGAAGCAAGGAGTGGTGTGCACAGCACCAAGGCCAGGACTGTCACACATGCACCACAAACAGTTCAATCCCACATCCCGTATGCCTACAGACTGAGTTGAATTGTCAAGTGGAAAAGCAACTCCAATATAACTTCAATGAGCTGCGTCTTCAAAAGGCTGTGTAAATTATGGCCTATGATCCCCATGAATGTCCTGTACCTGGTGAGGGGTCAGCTCCACACCGGTGTTAACATCCACGAGCTGGAAGGACAGCGCAAAGTTCTGGTGGCTGTCTGCAGTGAAAGCACCCTTCGCCTTTGAGGGATACTCCACCCTGGGGAAAAGATACCAGATTTTGAGTATCTGGCCAGAGACCAGCTCGTTCACATTGTGCATAATCGAACTCCATTTACCACTCATGGGAATCTAAACTCCCCAAAACGGTCCTCCCTCTACCAGACAAGTATGAGTATCCCGGAAAGGATGTAAGTTAACTGCTGACAATAACTGAAGGGAACAGCTTTTGCACACAGCGTGACAATGCTCGTCGGCTGACCTGGTTGTCTTTGGTCCAATGCTCTGGTCCTTGTCCACCACCGACAGATCCATATTGGTTATGCCCACCTCAGTGGAGACTTTGACCTTCAGCTGGAGAACAGAAATAAAGCCGTCAGTACATAACTGCTGATAGTCAGCTTTAAGCCTTTTGTAGCATCACGCTTCAGAAGCTCAAAGGACAGCTGTGCCTGGTTCCTGTGTTAAAAAGAAGTGTTGCGCTCTTCCAACACACGTCCCAGTGGTAAGCTTTCACAAAAAGTGAACAAAGTTGACACTGAACTTTTATTTTTCGATTGGAAAAAATATCTTCAAATCACTTCTCCACGACTGATTAACTGCAGCACTTTTCTTTGCAACAAGCTGTCTTTTTCACCCATTTTCACGTGTTTAAAGGAAGTCATCACCATTAGCAAAGCTCATCAACAACTCATTGCCAGAAACTAGGGACAGAATATCTTATATTGTTTTCAGAAGACAATTGTGCTCATGTGATGACACAAAGCTTTGTACAGAGTGCTACAGAGTGCTACAGAGTGTCGGAACATCAGTTCAGTAGGGCGTTCTGTATGTATCACAGTACTTCAGGTTGTCTATTGATTTTATCAATATTCTTTTAAATATTCGAATAGCTAGTGTATTATTTTGACCTATATAGTTTGTGTTTTAGTGAGTTAAAAGTCAGGACAGATTATGATATTCCCAGATGCAACTAACTTCCTTGTTTCCCGAATTTCAGAAAAAGAGAAGCAAGCAAATTGTACAGATCCAGCTCCAAGGTGTTCTTTCACAAAATCAATGAAGAAATCAATATGGAAGCATTGCTCCATGCGCATGTGTGTGCCCTGTATATTCAAGTCTTGATGCTGCTTAAATAGAAGCTCATCAGCTACTGCGTCTATAATGTACAGTTTCAAGAAAACTAGTACTTATCAAATTGCACTTTTGTTTATCTCAAAACATTAGGGTTTGTACACAATCTTTGTAAATGTGTATAATTTGGGTGTCCTATAGCAGCTCTCAGTGGACTCCCATGGATGTCTTAGTTAGACTGACACCTCTGATAGACATGCATCTGGCCAGTGTGTGAAATTACTGACTCACGCTCAAGATTTGAGATCTTAAGTGCTAAATGCCACATCACATTTTTATGTCTAGTACAATACGATTAGCTATTTAAGTGTTTAGGTCTATTTAGCTTTAGTTCCTAAAGCAGACTGTACTTGACAT